AAGGTGGTGGGTTAGCAAAATAGATGAAGACCCTCAACCAGATGGATTGACATAGAAATTATAACAATATGTCAGAGATGAGGGAGATGGCACAGGATAGTACAGAGTGCAGATATGTTGTTCATAGGTCTCTGAGTTGTACTCAATTCACAGGCACCTAACAACAATAACAATGTGTAATTTTTTTACACAGTCCTGGATTCTTTGACATTAATTAATAAATTCTGATTAAAAAATTAGGTCTATATTCAGGAAAATTCTACCCTAAATCAGGGTTTTAATTGATAAATATCTGTGTGCTTATAAGGAAGACCAGATAATATGATTATTCTTAAATTCACACATCAGCCACTAATGCTAAAAATTAAGAGGTGGACGACTTTTACCAAGTTCTGCAGTCTGAAACTGATCAACCATGTGATCAAGATGTATTATTAATAGTGAGTTGTGATTAATATAAAAAAAGTTGGAAAGGAAGGATTGTTGTTCTTAAGTTCTTAGTTTATTCTGATTCATAGTGACTGTGTGTACAACAGATTGAAACTTTTCCTAATTCTGCATCATCCTCATAATGTCTGTTGTTCTCAAGTCCATTCCAGTCACTGTGTCAATCCTTCTCTTTGAGGATCTTTCTCTTCTTCACTGACCTTCTATTTTTCCAACCTTGAAATCTTTCTTCAAGTACTTGGCTCTCCTCCAGAATATGTGCAATAAAGTCACACTACTCTTGCTCCTAAGTAACACTCTTGCTGCGCTTTTTCCAAGACATTATTCTTTTGGAAATCCATGGGATATTCAATAATTTGTTAAATATTATTGAGAAAGGATCACATTCAGAATTGGTGTGGAACAAGGGATATATCATTGCTGATGTCAAGTGGATCTTGACTGAGAGCGGAGACTACCAGAAAGATGTTTACTCATTTTTTATTGACTGTGCAAAGGCATTTATCTTTGTGGATCATGATGTATTATGGATGACATGTAGAAGAATGCGAATTCTAGAGTACTTAATTGTGCTCATGTGGAATCTATACAGAAGCCAATAAGCAGTCATTCAAACAGAACACAGGAATACTACATAGTTTAAAATTAGGACATATGTGTGTCAATGTTTTATTGTTTCACTGTACCTGTTTAGTGTGTCTGTTGAGCAAGTCATCAGGGAAGCTGGACTGTGTAATGAAGAATATGGCATCAGGATTGGAAGAAAAAGGATTGCTAGCTGAAAAATGTTACCTTGGTGATAGAAATGATACATGAGATTTTATGATAGAATTTTGTAAGATAACTTGTTAGAAATAATTTTATCAACAGTATAAAGTATACTGTATTCATCAACTTGATTGGATAGGGATACACAGTAATCTACATCTGTGGAAAGAGACAATAGGGAAGTTCAGTATCCTCAGTGAAGAAAAAGACAGGTGCCAACTGTCAAACAGACTCCATCAGATACTCATCTGCAAGTTAAGGTTCAAGTAGAAGAAAGTTAAAATATATCCACAAGTGCCAAGGTTTTACCTTGAGTATATTTTTCTTGAATTTATAGACCATCTGAAGCATTTATTTGACATATTGAATATTCACAACAGAGGATTAGATGAACCAGCCAGCTAAGTCGGACCTAACCACAACAACATTCAGGAGGAACAATTGTCTACAGTTTTTTACTGTATCTTTGAGCTTGGTATCAGTTCCTCATAAAACAAGTTGGGATGTCTTTTTTGTATTTTTTTAAAGTGTATGTCTTTTATTATTGCTTTAATTATGTAATGTTGAATTGATTATGATTCATAGTGACCCTGTGAACAAAAACTCTGAACCTTCACTTTTCCTGAACCAACTTCACTGTCTCTGACTCACCTGACCCCATTGCCACAGCCCTTGTCAGTCCATCTCATCCAGTGTCTTCCTCTTTTGCGCTGACACTCTGCCATTCCAAACATGATGTCATTTTCCAAAGATTGGTGTCTTCTTGACAATATGTGAGATGGAACTTCAAATCCTTACCTCCAAGGAGCAGCCTGGTTTCACCCTCTTCAGGACAGATCTGTTTGTTCTTTTGGTAATCCATGGTATGTTTGAGTCTCTAGCACTACAACTCAAAGGCATCAATTCATCTTCTGTCATCCTCTTTTATAGTCCAGTTCTCAGATGCATAGAAGGCAATAGAGAAGACTATGGCCTGGATCAGGTGCACCTTAGTCTCTAGACTGACATTGTTGCTCTTTAATGCTCTGGGAAGATCCTTGACAGCTGGTTATCCCAACGCAACTCATCTTTTGGTTTTCTGACTGCTGGTGCCAAGAGTTGCTTGTAGATCCAAGCAGGCTGACTTGGTTAACTGTTTCAATCTTTTCTTCATCTATCATGATGTTGCTTATTGGCCTAATGGTGAGGATTATTGTGTTTCTTTTTTTTTTCTAGGTACTGTTTTTCAAGTTATTTATAAACATGGCCATCAAAACCCCCAGGTTTTGGTCTGACTCCCTGGATTTGGTCCGTTGCTGCAGGGGTCTTGCTTATTCACCAACATTAAATCTCTGCGCAAAAGATGGGACAAAGCAGAAGTCCTTCCTTAGTAGCAATGGTGGGTCCTCTGCTCCTTTCAGAGGAGGTAGTGAGCACATGGAAAATACGTGGGAGTTCTTCCTTGAGACAGGGCTTCAGTCATGCACAGCACCCACTATCCTTTCCCCTCTGGTTTTAAGAGGCAAAGCAGACATAATCTCTGAAGATTCTTGATGACAAGTCAGAAAATAGCAATACATTCCTCCAGTGCATTGTGCTTTCAAGATATTCTGGGTCTGGTTCAGCAGCTGAATGAGTTGACTGGTGCTTTCACCATGATAGCCAGGTGAGCCCATCTCCTTGAAAAAGGCCACCTTATTCTTGGTAGCATGACAGGCCCCTGAAAGATGGAAGGGGTACAAAAACTATGAGACCTCCTGGAAATACTTCCCAGGGAAGACAGTTTCATGAATGAGGTCTTCCAAGCAAATGACACCAAACTTTCCCAGGTGCTCCTCAGTCACTGTGTTGTCTGTCAGTGGGATGGTCTTATTCTTGACCTTGGCTTATCCATGTTTCAAGATGAGTCCCTGAACAGACTTCAGATTTGGAAACCCCCATGTCACATAAGGCTTCACTGTACGCATCATTTTTAGAGTTACAGGGGTCACTTTGACAGACACCACTGAAAATCTTCTTCAGGTAGAGTCGTGCAGTAATCCTCCACACCAGATGACTCATCTCATTAATCCTCAGGATGCACACCGCAAAGGCCAAGGAATGTTCATCTGGTGCTTCCAAGGCATGAAGTTTCACTTTTAGTCGTTTGATGTGTACTTTGTCGTGTTGCTGTCACCAAAAATCAATTAGAAATGATTCTAGTTGCCCGAACCTGAGCCCTTTCCCTTTCCTCTGCTGCTGCTTTTCTAAAAGTGTGTGCTTGGCCTGAGTTGCTTTGAGGGCCTGATAAACCTTCCTATTTCAGGAGATTTTCTGGAACCAGTGGGATAGTTTTCCTTGGCTCTTCCTCCACCATCTTTCCAATGCTAGATCATTGTTTTATTGATGTTAAGATTCAATCCATATTGAAGGCTGCAGTCATTGACCTTCTGCAGCAAACACATGGTCTTCAATTTGTGTAACGCATGTGATTGCCAATCCAGATCTACATTATTTTTCAGGTTCAGCCTCTCAAATGGTTGATGAGGTATGGAGAAATCCCTGATGCATTTCTTTCTTGATTTTGAACCATGCAGTTTTCTTTTGCTGGATGTGGACAACCACTTCTTGGTCTACGTGTGGGTTTCCCATGCACACAATCAAGTTTTCTGGGATTCCCATTCTTCTTAATGTTAGCCACAATTTGTTGTGATCCACACAGTAAAATGCCTTTGAATAGTGAATGAAATACAAATAGACATCTGGTATACTCTACTTTCAGCCAAGATCCATCTGCCATCAGCAATGAGTACCCCTTGTATCATTGTATTTCTGGCATTTCACTGTTCATGTACTGTTCTAGTCAATTTTGGTTAATCTTCAAAGTGACTTCTGTTGTGTATATGTAGGATTTAATATTTAATATGTGATCATATTCACCTGTGAGTTCATTTGGCCTCAGCATTTTCTTTATGGGAATCTTTTATATAAGAAGACAGATATAGTGAGATATTAATATTTTGTCTTTCTTGAGGCAACTTTCACAATTTGTATTTAAAATTTTTGCCCATTTTTTTATATTGTCAAATTATAGCCATAAACATTTTTATACCCTCCTCTTTTATTGTCTCTGAGAGCTGTAGTTACAAACTTTTTATTCCAAATAATATTAGCAATTTATACCTCTTCCTCCCCCCCTTGGGTAATTGAGGTAGTTGTCAATTTTATTCAAGTTTTTATAAAAACAGTTATTTTCATTATTTCCTATTTTCTTGATATCTGCTTTTAAGATTTCTTTTTTTATTTTACTGTTTCCTTTTAGATTCTTAGTATAAAATTTTATAAACTAAGAGATCAAAATTCTTGAGTATAGTTTTGCAAATCTCAATTACTATAATAACTATGCAGTCATCAGGCTGGTTTTAATTGCTTTTGGTCAAACATTCTTCTAAGTAGTGTAGCACAGGTCTGTCCATTTGCTGTACAGAGGTAACTCATGGTTACTGTGATGCTAAACACTGTGACAATGATGTGTCAAATGTGATAATGGAGCTCCTCAATTAAAACAAGCTTGGAAGCAGGAGTGGCATCCACTTCCAAAATAGTTTGCCTCTGGAAACTCTGTGAACTTGGAGAACAATGAAAGTTATACAAGTGTTCAGGTCTTTCGTTGATGAAAAATGTTTAATACATGCTTACATTTAACAGAAATGTAGACTGTATAAAGAAATGAATATAGTTGCAGGATCTTTTCATTTAATATTTTTAGTTAATTCATCTGTTAGTTAAAAATCAGTTAATGGTTATATTCTCACTTTTCATTACAGAAACATTTTTTAGTCATCCTTTTCTGGAGCAAGTTCCAGTTAAAAAATGTAAGTACTTAATGTTGGCATTTTCACTTAAAGAGTAGATGCAAACCTAAACAATATTTAAGTATATTGAATGGTGAAATTAATCTTCATTGTACTCTTCAAGGTTTCATTGACCTTTTCCTAGATACTGATATTTACTAAATTTCATTTTACTTCCCAAATCCAAGGTAAAAGTCTTTTAGTAATTGTTGTGCTTTCAGTTTTAATCATGGGAGTTGTAATACAGTAGAAACTAAACCTGTCAGAGAAGGAATAAAAAAGTCCTTTAAAAAAAAAAGCAGTAAGAAAGTGGAAAATTCACGTCATCAAATGTGGAAAATTTATGAGACCTGGAAAATTATGGTCATTTAGTTTGGGTCTGACTTGCAAAAGTTTCCTTGTAGCAGCAGATGAATGCTAGTTTTTGTTCAACATAGAGACGTAGTTGTTAGGACAAGTTTTTGTGTAGAAAGAGCCATATAACTGCAGCATGCTCCAACCTCTCTCTGTGGATTCTCCCTCTAGCTTGTCCAGTTTCAGTACCTGTGTGTGGTGGTTCTGTCACTGGAAGCTCTTGTGCCACCTCTCCATCTTGCCGGTTTTCCTCACCACCAGTAAGTTCTACTTCCATGAAAAAGAATTTCTGCATTAGTGTTTATATATCTATTCACAGTTGGAGCCTCCAAGTTAATTCTTTTCAGTATAATGTTTTGAAAGAGCACTTGAGCTAAGAGAAAATATTATTTAACCATTAGGTCAAATGAGCCTAGTTTTTGAACCTCGGCTCTTGTTTACCTTTGTATGCTTTGACAAGAAGTGTCCCATCATTTGGGCCATTTTCCTTTCATCAGTCAGTATCACATTACTATCTTTTTTGTGCCCTGTGTAATTTGGCAATAATACTAGTATTATTAATAATAACACTTGGTAGAGATGCATGGATAGGAAATGTTCCTTTGTTCTGAATGCCATGCTCATCAGTTTATTGTATATAGAATTTCCACTAATTGAGGATTGGCCTCTGAACTCAATTTTATAGACTTAAATTCTCTAATTGTGATTTCCTGACCTTTGAAGTTATTTGTACTACAGCTTGCTTCTTCCCCTTAAGTTCCCAAGTTTTTCTTCCCTAGCTTTCTTCTGCCCTAAGTGCTTCTTCCTGGCTCTTAGGCCTCCTAGGTTCTTCTTCCTGCTGTACTCTCTGAGGGTTTTGACATGCACTCTTTTGTACTTTTCCAGACCAGCCTTCCTCCTACATTCTGTTACAGCCTGTCATGACCTTGAAGTCTTTATAAAAGCTGGAGCTCTTAAGCCTAGAATTGTTAGTATTTTCTTCACTTCTGTGGTATAAGGGTAGGGGAGCCATAACAGGAAGAGATTGTATGACTGGTAGTTTCAGGCAACTCCGGACTACGAGTGTGAAGTTTTATATCACTAATGTATAGCACAGTGAGTTTAATTTACCTGATTCATTGCATTCATTAAGGGTACATGAACAAGCACTTGGCTGGCACATAATAAGTACTCAAAGTTGTAGTAAGTGTTATTATTTTAAAAAGAAACTGAATAGACTGAAACTAAAGCAAACACTAACGTCACCTTATTAAACTCATGCCATGGAGTTGGAACCAACTTACAGTTGATACTCCAGTGGGTTTTCAAAGGTCACATGGGAGGAGATTATTGACCTTTCTCTTGAAAACTAGTGGATTTGAACCACTGGCCTTTGGTTCCTTTGGTGCAGCTTCCAACCCTGTAGGCCACCAGGGCTCTTTATTGCTAAAGTAGCCTGCTGCAATTATGTAAGTCCTAAAATAAGCAAATAACCACTTTTGTACAATCATGCCGAATCAAGTAAAACAATATGCAGAAATATTAATAAGTCATTGAGGACATTTTCACAAAATTAAGGGAAAATATATATTGCCCTTTCAGTCTGGAATACAAGACAGTAGCTTTATAGATAGTTGAGTAGAAAGAGGAAGTATGTTGACGTGGAAAAACCATAGGCTTTATTTAGGTTGAACCAGATTTCATCTTGGGCATGCTGCTTGCTCACTCTGTTCCTGGGTAAGGCAGCTGTTATTCAAGAACTTAGCCCTGGTTTCCTCATCTGTAACATCAGCCCACTTAACCTTTGCTTACAAGGGTTCATGACAATAAAGGGTAACTTAGCCTGTAATGTTATTATGATATATTCATTTGACATGTGATACAAAATATGAACAGCAAAGTTTAAGCTAGAGAAAGGAATCAGAATGTCAGAGAGAATAAAGGAGCCTGTGGGAGCTCTGGTGGCTTAATGGTAAGGAATTGTGCTGCTTACGCAAAAATATGTGGTTCAAATCAACCAGCTGTTCTGTAGGAGAAAGTAGGAAAGTCTCTTCCTTGTGGTGTATGACCTATGAAAGCCTGCTTGAGAGTAAGTTATGAGTTAGGTTTTGATTCGAAGGTACACAACAACAACAAAAACAATGAATATACGTGATAGCAAGACAGGAGCCAGGAGAAGTTTATGGAATTACAAATTGATTTCACTTAAATAAGCATGTTGAATAGAGTATGATTGGGTAAGAAGACAAAACTGGAAGCAGGGTTATGGCTGATAGAAAAGAGAACAGAATGGAGAAGTTCCCATAAATGTGGAAGTGCTAGGAGTATAGGATGTTGTTGTTGTTGTTACGTGCCGTCGAGTCGCTTGCGACTCATAGCGACCTTATGTACAATAGCCCTAAACTCCTCTCTGTCCTGTGCCAATCGCACTGTCTCTGACACTCCCATTCCAGTTATCCCAGTCACTGAATCAATCCACCTCATAGAGGGCCTTCCTCTCCTGCGCCGTCCCTCCACCCTCCCGAGCATGATGTCCCCCTCCAAGGACCGGTCTCTCCTCACAACATGTCCAAAATATGTTAGATGGAGCCTCAGAATCCTTGCCTCCAAGGAGCCACCTGGTTTAACCCTTTCCAGGACAAATCTGTTTGTTTTCCTAGCAGTCCCTGGTATTCTCAGTACTCTTCTCCAGCACCACAGCTCAAAGGCATCAATTCTCCTTCTATCCTCCCTGGTCATTGTCCAACTCTCCGATGCATAACAAGTGATTGCAAAGACCATAGCCTGTATCAGACACACTTTAGTCTCCAGAGAGACACCATTGCTCTTCAGTACTTTGGAGAGGTCCCTAACAGCAGACTTTCCCATGGCAATGGATAGGTACATTTAAATGCCATTATCTTTGATGGGAAAATTTCTTGTCTCTGGGACCATGGATGAGGGACTTTGAAAATACATTCGGGAATGTTTCTCAGAGGCAGGAATTGTTTGAGCTGGGTTTTGAAGAAAGAGGGAAAAAAAGAAGTGAAAGAATGGCACTTGAGCAAAAGAAATCCTGTATAGGAAGTTACAGGAATGTGAGCCACTAAAGAAGCATTGAGTGGTGCTGTGTAGTATCTTCCAATTGACTACATAAATTTGACTTTGTTAGAATGAAATAAAGTGTAAAATTAGTTCCTTAATCATTCAAGTTGCATCTCAAGTGCTTGTTAGTCACATATGACTGGTTACGACCACACTGGCCAGCCTACAAAACAGAGCTTTCTGATCTCTGCAGAAAGTTCTGCTGGTCAGGCCATCATTCAGCCTGACAAGTGAGGATAGTACCCACAGTGCAGTGAGGGAGACAGAGGCTCGATCTTAAAGAGATTAACTGCTGAGCAAAGGGGATGACAGTTTATCCTTGACATGGTTAAGTGAGACATTTGAATTATTTCAGATAGAGAGGTGATATGATTTGCTTGTGTGTGTTTCAGCAAAATTCTTCCAAAATAAAACTTGTGACTAGACTGGAGAATGGTAGAGAACAACGCTGAGACCTTTGCTGTTTTGTTTTTTAAAAAACTACTCTAGAAAAGCTACCCGTACTGGATTTCTTCTGCTTAATGGCCATTCTTTCACTTCTTTATTTTGTTTTTTTAAAAAAGAAAAAAAGCTTCCTTGTCCTGAACCAGGACAGCAGCTAGAAAGAGCTATGAGAAAGAGGATAGAATTTGCAGATCTTGATTGAATTGGAGATTTGAAAGTAAATACCTTAATGGTAAATAGATTATAATGAAGTTAAAAAGAGTGTTTTCAAATATAAAGAAGATGAGTTAATGTTGTTCAGGTGGGCATGTTATACAGCCATGTAAATACAGAGTTTGTAAAGCAGAGGTGTATAGGTATAGTGGTTATGTGTTTGGCTGCTAACCGAGACATTGATAGTTCAAACTTATCAGCTACTGTGCCAGAGCACAATGAATTCTTTCTTCTCCCTTTAAGATTCCAGCCTTGAAAACCCTCTGGGGTAATTCTCTTGTTTGGGTGACTGTGTGTAGGAACTGACAACGACACATTTTAAAGCCCATCAGAGAGACTCTAGGCTAGAAACATTAACTGGGGAGTTGTTAGGAGTAGTTGAAGGTGTGAATGTTTACTAGTGTGAGTCTAGTAAACATGGGCCCTTGGGAAATTTTTTATGCTGCATTTTCTTTTAGGGCCAAATGAGACGTCAGTTTCAAGTTATAGCAAGCATTCGGCAGGTTTCCAAGGCTGCAGATCTTCACAGGTGGGAAGTGCCCATCTTTTCTCGCTTTGGAGTAGCTGGTAGATTTAAAAAACACTGACCACTAGTTAGCAGTGCAGCATGTAATGCATTCCCCAGTAGAGTTTCTTAGAAGAGGAGTAGGTATGTACAAGAGAGCCTAGGAAGATGTCCCAGGGAGTATCAGGAAGAGCAACAAAATGGGATCACCGAAGAGAGAGAAGACTGTTAAAAATGGTCAAAAAAATGGTTTGTAGGGTGGATGTAATATTAAAGTGATTTAGGTACAGGGGCCATTCACTAGATTTGGCAATAGCGCATAAATGCAAACGTAATGAAAACAATATTATTGGGGATTTGAAGGCAGAAAGTGAATTGTGGTAGATTGAATGATGATGCATAGGAGAATTTGAGTCAGTAAGGGTTCATAATTTCAAGAAACATTGCTAAGAAGTGAAGGACAAAGGTGAACATTAGAAAGTGTTGCAGAAATTTGAAAGAATTAAATATGTTTGTATGGAAGGATTGAAATAAAGACCAGAATGATGGGAAAGGTGAATTAACCAAGGGCCTTGAGGAGGAGAGAGCAAATGAAAGGAAGCACATACGCAGAGAGCTTCACTTTGATTGAGAGGAAACACATTTCTTTTTCTCCAAGATAGGAAAGGAAGACCTGGGTAATTATCATGGTTGTTGTTGTTGTTGCTAGGGGCCGTTACGACTCACAAGAGACATAACAACAGATTTCATGATTTTACAAATAGCAGGAAATAAAATTAAGAAAGCACTTGTCCGAAGCACTGGAACTATATGAGGTATTTGGAAAGATGTCTCACCTTGACCTGAGTGTTACTGGGCATATTATCTAATATTCCCAGATTTATTTCTTTCAGTTCTACACTGTGCTGGAATTTGCTTTTCTGCCCTGTACCATGATGAGTCTTCCTCCAATCTTGGTGCCACATTATTCTTCATATTTATTATTCTTCATGAATAATTTGCTTGTCAGATTAAATAGATACAGAGAGAAGATAC